TTATGATAATTACTTTTTTGTCAAACAAAATTACATTTTACACCAACATTACTTTGCCCTTTTCAGGGACAAGGATTTATATCAGTGATAAAAAATAGATTCCAACATCATGATTCCAGAGATATGTATGTGTGGGTACACACGCACACATGAAAAGAAGCTGGCTAATTAAACCAAGAAGTTAATTTATGAAAAAGAAAGACTACTACCTATTAACAGCAGTTTCATGATACTGCCTCTGTAGATTCATACTTTGAAACGGGTGCACATGTGGACCAGCTGTCTTAGAACTGTCCAGGAAGCACCATGTTTGGGCCACACAAGCATCACCTAGGTCCAAAAATTTGTTGTTTCCTATTGTGAGGACACGAAAGCCCAAACCATCTCCTTGTCATTTAACAGTAAGAAATTAAATGTCACAAGGGACTATTACAATAACTAAGTCTGACTTCCTGCCTAAAATGGACCATAAAACCTCCCATAGGAATTTCTGCATCAAACCCGTAACTTCTTTGCCATTTAATTTAGATTTTATAAAAGATCTGCTCTTTTGATTTAAACACTTCAAGTGACAGCATCCACCACATCCATAAGAAAGTTGTTCCAATGGCTGTTTACCCTTATTTTTAAACAAGGTGCAAAATTTCAAAGTCAATTTCTCTCACTTTACTATTTCTTCTAGATAAATGAGATCAAATAGTTGAAAGCTAGAGGGCTCTTTATGCCATCAGAAATCATTTATTTATGTTACCAAGCACAAAGCACTTCCAGCCCATAGTCAAGTCACTTTCTCTTGGTAAACTAAAATAGACTGAGTTTCTTAGATCTCTCACAATAAGGCAGATATTCCACATCTCAAATCATTCTTATAGCATCGTCTGAATTTTTTCCAAATTTTCAACATCCATTAAAAGTGCTGCTACCAGTAGTGATCAGACTATTCTATGGCAGTAGTCCAATGCCACATACAGAGATAATATCACTTTCCTGCTTCTACTTGACATTCCAAGACTTACATATCCAAGAAAGTTTGCCCTTGTAGATACACCATGATATCAGTAGCTCATGTTCCGCTGGTAATCTACCATTATCCTCAAGTCCTTTTCAGTGCCACTGTCTTCCAGGATGCTGTCTTCCACCTTCTAAGTGTGACCTATATTCTTTGCTCCTAAATTCCTTTGGCAGCTTTTAAATGCACGTTGTTCAAATGAGTCCGCTTTACCAAGTGATCTAAATTGGTCTATATAACTTATTTATCCCTATCATTGACCATTCCACCACTTTTTGCATTTACAAATCTTACCAACAATGCTTTTATTTTCTCTCAAATCATTCATAAAGATATTGAATAGCACTGGACAAAAATATATTCCTACAGCAACCCTCAAGAGACAGCCACATTATTCCCCTTCTATGGTTTTTTTGATTAGTTAACACTTTTTAATCTACTTACTATAGCCTACACTGATATTTCATCTTTTTTTTTTTAATTAAAATATCACGAGATGTCAAATGCCACTTCAAATGTCAGTTCCTTTTGTCAACCAGATTTATAATCTAATTTTAAAATCTTGTTTGATAAAACCTACCAATCAATGTAGTTTTAATCATGTTACCATACACGCTCCTCCCTCCCCCCAATATGGAATGCCCTGACCAAATTCCAAATCAGCCATTACAGGATTTTGCCCCAGATCAGTTACTCGGATCATTCTTCTCCCTCTCTTGAAATATTGCACAACGTTAACTTTTTCAAGTCCTTTGGAACTCTCTCAATATTCCAAAATGTGTTTAACAATAACACTAGGAGCTCAGTGAGCTTCTTGGCCAAATATTTTTTCTGCGAGTTATCCAGTTCTGTTGAATCAGATATTTGATTTTTGGCAGTTGCTGTTCAGCATCCTCCTTAGTTACTGATGGAATAGAAAGTATTTCCTTATTCCTAGATATGAATACACCACCTTTACAAATGCAGATGGAAAAGCTTGATGAAACTTGTGCCTTTCCTATCAATGATTTCCACCTACTTGAAGCTCCAAAATAAGATTCCAAGGAAGGTAGATTCTGTGGCTATCGAATGGCTACCAGCTCCAATGTAAGTAATCCTTCTGTGTCCTTTAATAACTGCCTGTTATAGAACAGACAATGACAACAGTTCCTCCTGGTCTTAAAAACCTATGATTCTAGGATACTCTTATGGGCCCTCCTGACCACCACAGCTAAGATCCAAACGTTAATTACAATTGCGACTGTTATTGTTTCACTTTTTACCTTGCCTCTCCAACTCCCTCCATTTCTTTATTTTAGTCACCTGTTCTCTATCTTAGATTATAAACTCTTTGGGTCAGGCATTATTCTGTCACATGTGCCTAGCCTAATGGAGCCTTGATCAGGGCTTTTATCGGGGGTGTCCCACCAGTTCTGAAGCAGTAGCCACTATAATGGCTGATGCTATAGAGAACTAGTTACACTCAACTGACCAAATAGCTACATTGTTTAAGCCCGTGGTCCCCAACATGGTGCCCGCGGGCGCCATGGCGCCCGCGGGGGCATTTCAATGCGCCCGCCAGGTGCTTGGGGCTGGCCTGGTCCCGGGCACATGGCGCACGGGCACTTGCGCCCGGCGGGCAAACGGCCACGCCCCCTGGCGCCCGGCAACCTAAAAAGGTTGGGGACCACTGGTTTAAGCCAACTAGCAACATGTGGCTAGTGTATTGGGCACCACAGTTCTAGTTGCTACCACAATAATAAATGAATGATTTACCCCCACAGAACCTTGTAAAATAAGGAAGTATTATTCCTATTTTACAGATGGGGAGTCAAGATCCAGATTGAAGAGTTCACCCACATATTATACAAGAAAGCCAATGGCACATCCACAAGTTGAACTATAAGACTATCCATTCTTGACAATACTCCCTCTGCTTCAGACAGTGCTACCACAATAATAAATGAATGATTTACCCCCACAGAACCTTGTAAAATAAGGAAGTATTATTCCTATTTTACAGATGGGGAGTCAAGATCCAGATTGAAGAGTTCACCCACATATTATACAAGAAAGCCAATGGCACATCCACAAGTTGAACTATAAGACTATCCATTCTTGACAATACTCCCTCTGCTTCAGACAGGGCACCAGAAGCCCCAGAACATGGAAAACCCATATCTAAACTATTTGGATCTGAGGACTGAGAGTATACTACAGAGCACTTGGACGTGAACATCTCTTTCTTCTGGCTCAAAGAATAAAGTTGGTACAGGTGGATTTCTATCTCAAAGAACGACCTGTTCCCAAGAACAAAAGGCATACCAGTTGATCACCAACATTTTAGCCTTATAAAAGAGGCAAAAAATTTAAACTCCAACTTCCTATGGGACTCTGAGTCCCAGAGGTCAGAAGCCCCTTAGGTGTCGGTACGAAGCTGACCATGACACTGAAATAGGCTCGTGCCTGAAAAGCACAAAACACTGGTTACTGTGAAGATCTGCACCAGTAATACAATGAAACAGAACAAGCCACACAGTAAGGAGGAACTAGAAATAAAAAACCCTTTCTTTTAAAGTAATAAATAACTAGCACAACAAATGAAAATAAAAAGAAGGAAGAGTACAACAGATTCCAAATAGGATGAGACTGCGGCAAGACAGAAACAGTCAGAGCCACAGATACTTTTAACCCATCACACGGAAAATTTGGTTCTAAGCTGAGAGATTCAATTAGTCTTAATAATCAGTTAAGAGTGTTTTCCAAAAGGCTTTGACCCAGCACTTCCTGATGGGCATGATGAAATGGGAATCTGCACAGGCAATTGCTCAAGATATAGCAGATTTGATTTTGAATAAACATGGTCAGGAAAGTTCCTAAAGTGCCTTGATGCTAGAATATGTAGTTAGAATGGCAAGGGTTTAAAGAGTGTGATGCTAAGAAACATCATATCACAAAGACAATTCACCACCTTGTTAATATCTCAATTATAAAATGTATACTCCACCTCAGTATTATGTTTCAGTGCTCACCTTTTGAAAGTAACTTCCGGAATTTCTGAGTGGCTGAGAGCTGCTGTTCTGGGCTATTGGAGAAAATCATCTCAATCATATCAGAGGTGATGACGGCACTCTGGGATGACAGAAAGCAAACTAGTAAATTTGGGACTGAATTCAGAGGGAAAATATTAGAATAACATTTGACAAACCGTGCTATTGAGTTTATTACTGTGTAAGAAGCCAGACAATAAAAAGTGATATTGACTGCTAGTGTTATCATTCAAAGGGCTTTAAATGGTAGTGTGCTAATTTCATTTCCAGAACCCCAATTTTGTTTCATAAGCTATATGAGCAAAATTAACAGACATTTTCCACATCACAAAACCGCCATATAATTAGCAGTCTTATCAGCAGAATGAAGTGGAGGATCAAAATAGAAAAAGTTGTTGATTTATGGGTGTTCGTGGGTATAAGGGATCAGTTTCTCTTGGCTAGGATAAGTTATTGTCTAGACTTGGCCACTATGTTTGCTTCAAGCCATTTTTGAAGCATCACAATTCACACAACCTATTTTTCCTTAATAAAGTATAAATGATTGTAGTTCTGGTGAAAGACAACCTTGAAGACTAAATTCCTGAGCACAATCATCAAAACAGAACTTCTAGCATTGGTTAACAATAGGTGTACCCCTGTCCTGAAGCCCTTTTGAAGGGTTCCCTGCAGTATCCAGCTCCGTATCCACTGCATATTCACAGAAAAAACAGATCAGTCATTTCTAAGAGAGCAGTGAACACACCAGCTTGGAGAAAGCAACTCAGGATCAGCCCCTAGTTTAATATCACTTACATATTATTACAGTGAAAACAACACGTGAGGATAATGAAAACAAAAGGTTACATATACAATAAAATCATAACATGATTTCTAGAGTCTAAACAGACTAACCTTCTGTCTAAAGTTTATCTAACCCCAAACATCCTTTGTATATTTTAACCAAGTTTTCATTTATGTAAACTGCATTGCCCAATTACTTCTAAATGCAAAATGATGGAGGGTCTTTTTTGCCTTGTCCATAAATCCCTCAAGTTTTATAATTTATGCCTAGAATCAAGATAATGCAACGTGTGGCTTATCTTCCAGTATGCTGCATCCCTGCTGATTTCACAACCCCATAATGGCTTCATATGCAAATAACTCTCCATTGTGTTAGCTTGCAATGATTAATTAACAGACAGGTGAATAAATATGCTTTGTCTAACAAGACACTGTTTGTCAACTCTGCCTTGATACAGAGATTAAAAGTGTATTTTCAGTAGACATACATAACTCCTTACGCAGTATCTGTACACATTTCACAATATTAGCAACCAGTATGATCCTGGCTTTCATGTACAATCTCAGATGACACTCTTTGGTGAACTAGGGCATACATACCAGGATCAGGATATTCCTGTAACTTTTTTGCCTGCTGGCAGAAGCAGCCCGAGGCAGGCTGCGGCAGCTGGAACCCCAGGAGAATGCACGATCGGCGCTCCCGCCTGCACGGCCATCAATAGAGTGACGTCATCATCGGGCACCGTGACATCATCATCAGGCGCCATGGGCGCCCTGTTAAAGGCAGCACTATAGGCAACGGCTGAGTCAGCCTATAGTCACAGGCCACCCACCACCTCTGCCTGCTGGCATTGAGGAGTTCATGAGTCACAACTAGCAAAACCTAATTTTCACTAAAATCACTGTTTGGTCACTCAGTACACAAGAGTATGGCAGTAATTTTAGTGGTAGGCTTTAGGAGAGAGTGAAGTTAGGATTAATGTACCTCTGACCGAATTCTAGACAGACCTGCCTAGAGTGACGTGCAAGGGATGCTGATGGACTAGAAGTCAAAGACAGGCTAGCTATAAAGCTCAGCCTACACAAACAACTAAGTATGCAACACACTGTTTTAAAGAGATGATGCCACTTGAAAATTTGCCGAAGGTACAGTTTTCTTACAGTTCCCTCTCCTGGTATTAATATTAAAGTCAGCAATCTGTTTCTGAATCATGTTCTTGTTTTAAGCAGTCTTAACTTCAATGCTGCCACATTATGTGCTATTCTAGATATCTCCAAAAATGACATTATAAAGTTCATATAAGTGTGAGGTCAACCTAATACCTTAATTATTTAGACATACTAGTGTATAGATGTCAAGTCTTCTCTCTGCTCCTCAAATGCTATCATTTATTACAAGGTATCCATACTATAAATCACCCTGGTATACATGCGCTCTGTACTAAAGTTGTTGACACTTGTAGAAACTGATGCATTGTCAGTCCGCCCATTCCCTGCTCTTAACTTGCATAAAAAAACCTACAATCTACGCAAATGGAAGTCAGCCATGGGGGAAAAATTCCCTACTTTAAGTTGCTTTGCTCTAAGTCCAAGTTTTTGGAATGTGTCTTGGACTGATAGAGACGATGGCCTGAAATGCTAACTCTCAGTGGCAGAAAAGCAAACTGGTAACTACAAGTATTAAAGTAAGGGTTGCAACCCTTGGACAAATATAAAAATACTCTGTTATTTACAGTTAAATCTGGTCTCAGTTCAGTACGCTGTACCACCAGCTTCTCCCAGTCTTTACACTGCAATTAAATCCAACTTGATTTATGCCAGTAAATTTCCAGGCAAGAAGGTAACTAGTGGGTTCTGTACCAAACAAAACAAACTGCAATTTTTAACCACATATTGGCAAGTTTCTCTGCATCACTCAGCCTCAAGAACAAAGTCCACGAGGAGCTGTTTCAGGTAGCATGTTTTACACCCAGAGTTTTCTTGGAAAACAAACCACCAACCCATCTTCCACAATGTTGGAGCAATTTGACATTACCATATAAGTTGTATACCATATAAGTTGTATTTCAGAATATTAGCTCTTTACAAATTGATGGACAGTTCCCAAAGTGCCATATTTGCCTATGGCATTATTTACCACTATATACCTACCTAATATCCATTTTATTGACACACAAAGAATGTAGAGATTCTCAAAGCATCACGCTTACTTACAGAAGACATCTCCATGTTGTTCAGTTGAGATTCATGAAAAACTCCATCTGACATCACTTCTTCCTCTGCTTCTTCTTCAGCTGTAGCAACATTTCTGCGCTTAAATAACTAAAGAGGAAAAGACACAACGTTAGTAGCAATAGTACAGAATCCCAGGTTAACTTATGTTCAGAACAGCACATTAGGCTATTAAACGGAGATGTGACAGATGCTATGGAACCCTAGAACATTCAAAGACACTGTGTTAGTGAATTTATTGGCTTGCCACTAATTGTATTCCTGGTTCAATATGTGAGCTCAAGGATGCTTTTTGTAGCAACTAAAAGCTCTAATGAATAATTAATGCAAAATCTTAATGCTGAATCAATGCAGGTAATAAACCTTTGGAAGAGTGACCTGGTGCAAAACAAACACACAGATTAATGTGTCTTGCTTGGCCTTAACAGACAACACAGCTGAACCTTCATAAATTATCAGCCCTGACCAAAAGACTTGTTCACTCATGAGACTGTGACCAAGAATGGCAGGCCCTATGGAAAAAAGCTGCAGCACTTTAAATCTACCAGAATGTCCAGGTGGAAAGATGAACTGTCATTTAGTAAACAAAGCATGCATATAGTCTGTTTTTCAAGATGCTCTCTCTAAAATGCTTACGTTCTGAATAAATAATAACTTAATTTATGAGAGCTGGTTGTCAGAGAATAATTCTGTCATTGTCCCTGGGAGAACATAACTGCAAGTCAAATTGGCTGAGGTAATCACAGTGAATTACAGGAGTTTTCAGCCTAAACTGAAAGGAAAGGATCATGGGATTCTGGTCCAAGAATGATAATAACTATAGATCTAAGACTAAAAGGGATGCCCTCCAGAGATCAAAAGGAGACAGAGGTGCACAGTTAACTCAGGAATGACAATAAATAATTGCTAAAAGTTTGTGTTTCCAGAAGAACACTGAATCAAGTCAATGGATGTCTAGGTAGTTGGAGGAAACAGTCAAACTCAATTTAAGACCAAAGTTTCATAGTAGATTAAAATATAATTTAAGAATACATAATAATTCTAAACACACTTTCATTTAAATTAAAATAAAACCTCTTCACCTGAGGTGCTAGAAATGCAAACCCAACAGGATGATTGTAACAGGAAATACATCCAAATTGTTCTAATCAGAAAACTGATCAGAAACAAAGTCAAACACAAAAGAAAATAAGCACATTATGATGAACAAATTATATTCTAAACTGTTATTTATATGAACCATCTAAGGTCTTGTTTAGGCTACAAACTTATATCAACTCACATCATGTCAGCACACAGCTGCCAGATATCACTTGGGCCAAGTGTACATGTGCAACTTGTATCAGTGGTGCTTACTCTCACCAGGAGCACTTGTATTGATACAATGTGGTGCGTCATGGGAAGGTAGCCCATCATGCAATTCACCAGCATCCAGAGCACACTCTTTTGGGAAGTTTTGGCAATGCATGATGGGGCTGAAATGAGTCGTGCAGGGATGACTGGGAGCATATGATCAGCCTCCCAGTTTGCAATGGTCTCCAATGTCATCTGTATTCCATAATTTTTGTAATGTTTTTTAATCCCACCATCCCACAATACCCTCCTCTCTGTCTTCCATCTCCAACAGAAGCATGGAGCCTGCACAGCTCTGCACCAATTTTATGAGTGTTGCAAACATACAGTGCGCGATGCTGTAGTATCTGTAGAACCTCAGGAAGAGCCACAGGAAACGTGACAATTCCCTGGAGGACAGATCATTGTAGGTCATGACGAGAAACAATTCAAAGCTGTTGGTGGAATTCATAGAGCAGCTGCAGATGGTGCACCACTTGTGGGTTCAAGAAACATATAGTGGCTGATGGGAATGCATCTTATTGCAGGTTTGAGATGACAAGCACTGGTGGCAATTCACATTCCTGGATTTCTGTGCCAAGCTTGCCCTTGCCCTCCAGAGCAGGCAAACCAAAATGAGAACTGCACTGAAAGAAGAGGATAATGATAGCACCGTGGAAAGTTGCAATACCAGATTACTACCAGTCATTTGAGAATAAATTTGGAGTCAGGAAATCCACTGTGGGAGGGTCTTTTTCATGCAAGCGTGCAGGGCAATTAATCATCTCTTACTATGCGGGAGTGTGACTCTCAACAACATATAACGGATGTGCAATAATGGGATTCTCAAAATGAGGTGACGCAATAAATGACATGCACATCTCTATTTTAGCACTAGCCCATCTTGCCAAAGTACATCAGTAGTAAAGATCACTCTTCTATGATTATCAAAGTGCTGGTGAATCCCCAGGGATGCCTCACTGACATCAACATGGGCTGTTCAGGGAACACTCACATCTTTAAGAACACAGCAGTGTTCAAAAATCTGCAAGCTGGGACTTTCCTTCCTAACTAGGGGGTTATCATCGGCAAGCCTCAAGTGATCCTGTGTGACCTAACCTACCCCCTGCTCCCATGGTCCATAAAGCTATAGACTGGCCACATCAGCAACATGAGGGAAAGTTTTAACTACTGGCTCAGTAACAGCTACCGGCTCAGTAACAGCAAAATTACAGTTAAATTTGCCTTTGGTCATCTGAAGGAATGTTGATGCTTACTCACAAGATTGGACCTTAGTGAGAAAAATATCCTACAGGTTATAGCTGTCTGCCGTGTCAGACATATCATCTGTAAAGCAAAGAAGGAAATTGTCCACCTGCGTAGAGGTAAAGCAGCTGCTCAATGTGCTCAATTTTAACAGCCAGACACAAGGGCTACTAGAAAAGCTCAATGTGGAGCCATATGGCTTGAAAGACTGTGAAAAACTATTTTAATAGTGAGCCAAGATTAGCAGGTGGTGGTATGTGCTCTACCTGGCCCTGCTCTGTCTTGCTTCTTGGTATGAACTGTGTACTGTCTGCTGTACCTGTAGGCATATAAGACTGTCAACACGCTATTCAATTTTTTTTTAAATTGTGACACTGTAGAAACTAATGTTGTAAAAACTTGGTTAAATAAATAACCCTGTAACTGATGCAAATATCAGCAGTTACACAGTTATATGCACTGCAGGCTCTGCAATATAGAACTTAAGGTTTATACTGTAGAACCCGCAGAGAAGCCTCCCCAGGAGCAGGGCCACCAGCCCCTGCTATCTACACTCCTGGGGAGGCAGCTTTGCTGCCGTCGTAAAGCCACTTCCCCAGGAGTGGAGTCAGCAAGAGCTGCCAACCCCGCTCTCACAGTGAAACCTCTTCCCCAGGAACGGAGCCGGCAAGAGCCACTGGCACCACTCTCGAGGGAGGAGGTTTTGCTACAGGCTCTGCAGCGGACTTCCTGGAAGCAAGCCTAGCAGCCCCTGCTAGCTCTGCTCCTGGGGAGCCAACCTGTAGCAGGGGGGCCAGGCTGGGCCTGTCATGTACAGGGTTTGCTCCAGCTAGCCGGAGCAGCTCCTGCCTGCGGTGGGCCCCATGGGACTGGAGCAATCCCCAGCCTGGAGCAAGCAGGGAGCTGCTCCAGCCCCAGCTGTTAACCAAAACTGGTAAGCATTACCCATTTAGGGTGATGCTTACCGGTTAGCCGGTTAAACTTTCACATCCCTAGCTGAAACAGTTCGTTTTCAGGACAACTGAGTACCAGCAAGAATATGTTGTAAACTAATAAAGATGAATTATATTCCAAATAAGAATTTTATTTTGTAACAAAAATCTGTGAAACCAAAACCAAAACCAAACCTCTGGGTAGGTAGTTTAAAAACAAATACATTAAAAATGAATAAAAGCTTAATAAATTAAAAACCAGAACTAATGAAGGCAAAAGAACATTCATGTGCATCTCAGCTAAACCGGCAGTAATTGTGACTTTCACCGGCCTGCGTATGCGATGCTGTGATTGTCTTTAGTGTCCTCTGGAGTGGGGTGACAGCAATGATACCATGGTCCCAAATGTTATATGGAATGTTGGGAAGGGATGGAAAAGGGGAGGTTCTGATATTGAGTCCTCAGTGGGCTGAAGAGGGAGGCAAGCATGGGATTGTTGAGAACCTGCATGTTCAAAGTCTGCAGTATCTCTATTGGCTGTCTGAGAAACCCTATGGTGCAGCTCACTCTCCTTTTCCTGTACTTTTCACCTCTCTTCTCTTCCCTTCTTTAGGTTGTCCCCAGTGTTCATCCTGCAGGCTCCTTGCTCATTGTTTGTAGCAGCACTGGTTTGCAGGATCTCCTGGAACATGTCATCCTGAGTCCTCTTCTTTCTCCTCCGTATCTGGTTCAGACAGTGAGGCTATGAAGACTGCAATGGCAGCACCTGCAAATAAAACACAGAAGTACTACTGTCAATGTACTCACCACGGAAAATGTAACTCCCCTTAAGTTTTAAGTACTAACTACATTCTCATGTCTGCTTGGATTTGCCTGTGCACAGTGCCAACCACAGCATCAGTTACAATACGGCCAGTTAGGAATTGGAGAAATGGGGAGGAAATTGTTCAGCTGTATAATTCTAGAAATACAAGTAGGAGCCTTCATTTTCCCCCCCCCCCCCACCACCATGAATTATCAGTATGTATTACCACAACAAAAACAGGTGAAAATAAGTGAAAAACTCAATTTTTCTGGGTAAACATTGGGTTTTATTTTAGTGGATGGAAAGACAGGGGAAAATAGCATTTAACAGAGTAATGCTTTGAATTCCTTTTAGCAATGTGGTTTTGTTGCAGAACTAAAACAGAATTCAATATGCAATGCCATCTCTGAGTTTAAGGAAACAATACATCTTTAATCTCAAAATAAAATTTTTCATGTGAATAACTTACTATTGTAGACGTAGAGGTATAGTGTATACATATTTACATTTAATATTTGGGTCACACCACTTGCAGCACATACACTCAACTTCATTCTTTTTTTCCTGTTTCTGTTTAAACTTTTGAATATTTTGTTGTGTTCTGTAATGTATTTTGAAACAGATGTTATGTTTTTCTTCCCATTTTAGGATGTCCAATTAATAATCAGTTATTTTCTCTCAGCTTGAAATGCGTACATGTAAGCATGAGATTCATCAGTATGTTCAGATGTGCACACATTTAAGAACTTCCATGCATGACTGATTTTTTTATTGTGAGTAGCTTCTAGACTAATACAGTCTTATTTCAATAGGCAGCTTTGCATATATACACACGCACACAGCAATGAACAGGCAGTCCCCGTTCGTAAGCTGCTCCGGTGCCCCTGGTCTGCTGGAGACCGTCTCCAGCAGACCAGGGGCACCGGGCGGGTTCCCGCGCTTCTGAGGCTTTGCCAGAGCAAAGTCCACTTCCCCTGCTTCTGCTGACGAGTGCAGAGGAGGGCGGGGGACTGGACCTTTACTGCTGACACCAGCCCTGCTGGTCCACGGCGCTGCTTTGGTTGGGGGGAAGAGGAGAGGCAGGGAGAGGACAGCGCAAGAGAGGGAAGAGTAGAGCAGAGGTGAAGAGGAATGGTCCTGACCCTTCCCTGTGTTGGGGGAGGAGTTGCATGGCTGGTGGTCCCCCAGATGGCCTCTGACCATTCCCCTGTGGTAGAACCGCATGTGAGCACATGACCAGAGCTTCTCTGAGCTGCCATTTCCCCAGCCAGAGGGAGTAGGGGATGACATCAGAATGAAGAACCACTTCCTCTCCCCTGCTAGGCAGAGCCCGTGGGCCCGATGCAGCCTGTAACTTGCATTGATCCAGCCTGTTACGCTTGGGATTCCGGACTCCATAGCAGGACAAGCCAGCTCTGGCTTGCTCTGTTGTGGGAAGAGAGAGCCCAAGCCTCGTGGGCCGGATCAAGACATGCCGCATGCTGGGCCATAGGTCCCCATCCCTTTAACTAGATACAAATTTAATCACTAGCAGAACTTAAAATTATCGATAAGGTGAACTGATTTCGAAAGAACATGGTTTTCAAAGAAGAATAAATAAATTAAAACTAAATAAATATTTAGCTACCAGATTGCAGAAAATATCTCAAAAGTAAGTGACATGTTATTGCATATACAGGCAGTCCCCGACTTACGCGGATCCGACTTACGTCGGATCCGCACTTACGAACGGGGCTTTCTCGCTGCGAAGCCCGAGGCAGAGTTGCTCTGCCCCGGGCTTCCTGGAATCAGCTGCTGATCAGTTTCAGCAGCAGCTGACTTGGGGACGCCTGGGGTTCTTAAGTTGATTCTGTATGTAAGTCAGAACTGGCGGTCAGTTTCAGCAGTGTCTGAATCTGGACGCCAGTTCCGACTTACATACAGATTCAACTTAAGAACAAACCTACAGTCCCTATCTTGTACGTAACCCGGGGACTGCCTGTATTGCCAAAATACATATAACTCATGCAATGTATTATATTTTCCAAATAAGAAATATTTGTATACATTTGAATGATACAAAAGTAGGGTGAAAAAAATAGAAAAAAGTAAACTTCTAAAATAAACATGGGAAATGTTTGGTAAAAGTCAGTTTAAACAGAAAAGGAAGGGGCTTAAGTATATGGCAATGCCAAAAAAAAAAATACTGGCACTGTTTTCAACAGGTAGTGGTGATTTTTAACTCGTGCCTCACTACTGAGCATAAACGCAGTGAGAGAACAGCTCCTGTGGGTATCACAAAGAACATGTCCAGGACTACATGCTGCTAGTCTGTGTACAGCAAAAGTGCCTGATGAAATTATTGCTGACTGTCATGGGAAAGAGGAAGAAATACAGCTGCCATCACTAGAAACCTTCAGGAAAGGATTCCATAAAAGTTTCACTGACATCTTTCAAGAGGATTCATCAGACATATTCAAGACAAAATGCTCTACAGCCCTCCAAACCCCGCATTCCAACCTAATTCTAGAGGGGAATGAAAAGAAGATTGCTCTGCCTCTCTTGGTTGTAATACTACCTCTTCTACGAGTAAATTAATGGTAACTCAACAATGTCCTGCTATTTTGGGAGTACCACCCTTCCAATTAAAAATTAAATTATAAACTTACCTGAGGTTTCTTCCTCTGCAGCAGGCTCACCCATGCTCATCCGACAGGACTGGCTAGACTGCTGTAGAATAAAAACAGGTCCTGGCTCAGTGCACAGCTGGATCCTTCAGTCACCTGTCCAACATAATCCTCTTCTTCCTCATTCACAACTTCCTCTGTGCTGTTCACAGCGGAGGTCTGTGACTCTTTGCTCCTCACAGCTATCCATGGTGCTGTGGTAGGCAGTGGTGTGAGGAGTATGGTATAAGGCTCTGTGTAAAAGCAGTAGGTCTGAAGCTCAGTACTGGATCAATTCATGGCCTCCCTGGCCACGTGCTGCATGCAGGTCTTCAACTTTCATGCAGGGTTATTGCTGATCCCTGTCATGCCCCTTCTTCAGCATCCCCCAAGCAAGTTTCTTCGGCTGGTTCTAAACAATACTTGCACAGCATCTTCTACCCACAGTATCTCCTGTCTACTCCATAGTCAGCTGGGCAGTTGCCTTCAACAATGGAGAGCTGGTAGGTGTGCCCGTGATGCCAAGCAGTCAGGAAAATTAGTTTAAAAAAATGGCACTTACATGTTGATAAGTGCCAAACTGAAATGTAGATTTATGCTCAACTATGTCAACATGAGTTACCCTGCATTTATCTGTATCTTTGTCGTGTAGACCAAGCCTAAAATGTTAGCATACTTTTTAACAT